CCCCCCGCGAACTAAAACACTCAGGCTAATTTGCCCAAATTAGCCTTTCAGCCAGGGGCATCCAGACTCCAGGCCCAAGTTCTCTTCACTTCAAAGGAAGCTCCATTCTCCCTGGAGAATGAAATTTATGAATAAATTCATGCCGAGGGTAATGCAAACCTTAAAGGAGCAGGGAAGGCTATATAATAAGCCATCATCTCTTTATTATGAGCCATGGGGTAGGAGCCACAGTGAGTGGGCTCTCCAGTCTTTTGGCTTCACAGAGACTCTCCAGAACTTCCCAGGGGTGCAGTCCAGTAAGGCACTGGAAGGAGGAGCAGAATTTTGGTTTTACTTTTGATATGCCTCTAGGAGATGTCTCCGTGTGTTGCAGCAATCTTGTCCTCTGCCCACTTGGATGCCTGTAGTATCCCTCCTCCCCTCTGCTCCACCATTATTTTATTAGTGTTTTCTGTCTTTCCTATTAAATCAGGGTTTCTCAAAAAACACCACTGACAGCCTGGGAAAGCTCATTTTTGTCATGGATAACTGTCGAATGCATTGCAGGGTATTTTTGAAGCATTCCTGGTCTCTACCCACTAGATGCCAGTAGAACCCAACCTATGTGACAACCCTCTCCATTCACTGCCAAGTGTCCCCTGAAATTGCCCTTGGTCGTGGACTGCTGGTGTAGAGTCTCACTTAAATATCAAACACCATTCCTTGCTTCCTCAAACATTTTTTATTTTTTGTGCCCTATGAAAACAATTAAGTCTAATTCCAGCGATTTGGAAGGCTGAGACAGGAGGATTAAAAAGTTCAAGGCCAGTCTCAGCAATTTAGCAAGACCTTTTCTCAAAAAAGGAAAAAAAGAAAAAAAAAAAAAAGAAAAAAAGAAAAAGGTCTGAGGTGTAGCTCAGTGGTAAAGTGCATCTGAGTTCAATCCCCAGTACCAAAAATAAACAAGCAAATAAATATTTTTGAAAACACGTAAGCCTTTTCCATGCACCAACTATTCAGTCTGTACCCAGGTGAATATTTTGCCCCAAGACAGGGAAAGCAGTCTGTTTTGTTTCCAGACATCACTCATTATGTACCAGGCTAAAAAGTTAAAAAAAATATTGATATACTAAGGGTTAACAAAAAGACAAGGATCTTCTGGTACCATTTATTAAAGTCCTTCTCCTGCAAAATAAATTAATGTCAGACTAAAGCCCCCTGCCATCTATGCTAGTGTTAGTTTTCCAATAAAGTACTAGAAAACTCTATAGAACTGTGAGATGGACTTGGGTAAAAATCTGGTCGTCCAGGGACCACCTCTTCCCTGCTCAGACCCTTTCCCCACACCACTTCCTTGTCCCATTGGAAGAGGGGCCAGGCTGCTGTCCTGTTTCAACACAGAGCTGTCAAGTCAGGGTGAGGACACAGGACACACTCATTCTGCTCCTTCTCCTTAAGAAAGCAGACACAGCTAGAGATTAAGCAGTTGCAAGAAGTATACAGGATTTGGCTTTTTTTTTTTTTTTTATTAAAAGACAAATCAAGGGCTAGGGATGTAGCTTAGTTGGTAAGAGTGCTTGCCTAGCGTGCACAAGGCCCTGGGTTCAATCCCCAGCACCACAAAAAACAAATCAAGCCATTGCTTGACATTGGTTAGAGCTCCGGTTCTCCCCACAAGCTTTCCTCTGATGGAGCCTCAAGTCCAGAGCTTAGTGGGGTCAGAATTTGGAGTGTAACTAAAGCAAAGAGCACTTCTTTTTTTGTACCAAAAATACATATAAAAATATGCCAAAGTCTCTAAGAGGACAAGCTGGCCCCTTCCCACCCAAAACAGAAGCAACAAAAAGACAAGGGCTAAAACATCCACTCAGTACACACCATGGTACAGTTCACCCGGGACCCTTAGGATTAAAGCAACAACGAATCTTAAGTCAGATGTGTGACCAATGCCTAGCTCTACACACACACACACACACACAGAGCAGCAAATGAAAATATAAAAAGAACTACTTTTATTTATTGGTAAACATAAATGACCAGCTTGGAGCTTCTGGTGCACCTCTCCAGCCGGGACTCTTGCACCCGCACACACGCTCTTTAACATAAAACACTGGGGTCACAACACGCAACACAGCAAGAAGGCAGAGTGGCTGGGAAGGTGTTTGCAGATTTAAGCTTTGGGATTGAAGTAGCTGGTAAAAAGAAAGGCACCAAATTGGGGTCTGGAGAGACTTGGCAACTGGGGACAAGGCTGGTCAGCCCAGACACCCAGGGACAAACACCCCTACTTTGCTAACAGCTAGTGGGACTCTAGGTTCCTCTCAAGAGCTTAGAGGAACCTCTAAGGCAGTACAGTGCCTGGCAGAAAAGAAGCTGCAAAGTTTGAGTCAGCCAAGGAGCCCGCAGGGTGGGCTCCATCCCTGCTGTGGGCAGCACTTCCTGCCAGTTGGACCTGGATGACCCTCAGTGCAGTGATGGACATGTTCTGTCCCCAAAGGCACACTGTTGAGGTCAATCTGGCTGCACAGAGGCCATCTCTTCCTATTTGGTGTGGGGGTGAGGATCTGGGGGTCCTGAAGCCTGGCAAGCCCCTAGGCAGGCTGGCTTGAGGAAGGACAGCGCCTCTCTGCAAGGTGGCTGGAGCCAAGAGGACCTCTGCAGGCTGGTGACAGTTCCAGACCTCCCCCAGACTTCTTTTTGGCATCACAAAATCATGTCAATCAGATTGCCTACCACAGCCACCTCCTGCCCACCTTTCTGCTGTCATCCTGGCACAAAAATCCCGACATTGACCAGAAACCGAGCAAGGTGGCTCCGAGACTCAGCACTGAGGCGGGACAGGGAGAAGGCCCTCAGGTGGGTTCAGAAATCTTGTTTCTTGGAGGGGACAGAACAGGCCCTCCGCTAGGCAGGCTGCTCACTTTGTCCCACGTCCACAATGGCACTGGGAGATTGCTTCTCAACTGGGAAGCAGAATATGGAACCCCCAAAGGTGTGTCTGTGTGTGGGGGGATTGTCAGGGAAAGTGGCACCTGAGGAGTGGCCTATCCACTGGGTCAGGGCCATGGACTTGGGGCAAACATTTGCACTCCTCATTGTCCTGTGGCTGGCAGCCAGTCCATGGGCCACAGGCCTAGGCTGGTGAATCCAGCTGCCTGCTAAGGGCCCCCCTGCATAAAGCCTGTTGGCCCAACTCTTAGTCCCAGCTTCTTGGCCTATGTCTGTCCCCTCCCCCAGGCCAGCGGCTCCAACCCTGGGAACTAGGGTGTACTCTAGAGGACCCTGAGGCACAGGCTGGCAGGAGGCAGCAGTGCCATCTGGTTCAGACTCCTGGAGGATCCTCAGATGTACCTGGACCCTTGCCGGACTCCAGAGGCCAACTCGGGCTGGAGATATTTCTCGGAATCAGGGTCAGAGGGTGCTAAATCCAACATCTTTGGGGTTCCTGACCTTGCTTCCTGACTCTCTCCCTGCAGTTCCTGGGGCAGGGTCTCTACCTTGTCCTTAAAGGCTCAGGCACAGCTCTGGCTGGAGTTCCTGCCCACAGGCCCCTTCTCCACCCTATTTGATCTTCTGAAGGCTGGTGCCAGGCCTAAGGAGGCCCAGGCCCCCCACCCCACTCTACTTTGCCCACCCCTGTGGGGGAACAGTGAGCTGTGCCAGAAGCTCCCCCCCTGATCCCTTCCCTGGGAACAAGGCAGGTCTGACTGCTGTCATTTCAGGCTAGGAAGGGGCACCCAAACTCATGTGGAGACCTGCAGTGAGCAGGCAGGGGCTTGAGCCCCAGGGCCACTTGGACCTCCTGAGGCGATGGGAGCGAGGGAGGCCTGAAGAGGTAGGAACACAGGGAAGCCAGGCCCCAGCAAGGCAAGGAGGCAGCCCCAAGCCCGGGGGCAGGGTCTGGAGGGAGGTCTTCAAGCCGGTGGTGCAGGAGACCCCTACAGACCTCCCCTTAGCTGTGGGGTGGCAGGCCGCCGCACTTCACCAAAGGCAAAGAGGGAGAAGGGGTCAGACCTGGGTGGGTGGGAGCTCTGGGTAGGGGTGGCCCAGGGCCTCAGTAATGTCTCAGGTTGAAGAAGCCCACGCTGGTGGGGGACTCCTTCACCGTGACAGTGATGAGGTTGGCTGTGACATCAGTGACAAACACGTGCTCGATGAGGCTGCGGGTCGGTTTCCAGTCCTGGCTGGTCTGGACGGACACTGACAGACTCTGCCCGGCACCTGGCACCGAGGCTGAGTCCGGGTCCGAGTCGGAGCTGCTGTTCTCCTCACCAGTGCTCATCTCTGACAGCATGGTGGCCTTGCGGACTTCTCCGGGGGCTGTGTGGCCGTCCTGACCCCCGGGGGCAGAGCTGTTCTTGATGTTCTCCCTCTTGCCTGAAGCGGTGGGTAGTGCTGCTGCTCTGGAGGCCAGCTTCTCCCCTTTGCCCGCCTCAGTGGGCATGCCGGCTGCACTCACAGCACCCGGGCCACCCCCAGTGCCCTTCCCTGTGCCTGGGTGGGGTGCAGGGATGGCCTTGGTGGCTGTGGCATGGCGGGCAAGCAGGCCCACTCCAGGGATGCCGTTCTTGACACTCTGTAAGTCCAAGACCTGCAAGCTCAGCTCCTGGGTGGGTGCCAGCTGGGAGCCTGGGCACCCGGCAGGGACCTTGCTGCTGCCATGGGTGTGGGGTCCTCCCCCTGCGCTGCTCCCTTTCTGCTCCCCAGCTCCACTGCTGGGGGCCTTTGGGACTTTGCTTCCTGGGGGGCTCATCCCCAGCTCCCCTTTCTGCGTCCTCATCTTTAGGTCCAGCCCCAGACCGCACTTGCTGGAGGCCTGGGTCTTGAGTGCCAGTCTGCTGGCCGCCTGGGCCTGGCTCTGGCCCACGCGGTTCATGTAGTGCACAATGGAGCTCTGCCAGCTGATGGCGCCACGGCTGGGGCTGCCCGTCACGCCCTTCATCAGGCTGGCCAGGTTCTCCGGGGTGGCCATGGTGCTGGGGCCGCCACAGGTCTCTTTGGCATGGGCCTTTAGGGCCGCTAGGCCTGCCACAGGGGCGCTGAGTGGAGGGGGCAGCTTGCTGGCTGGGGCCCCCAGCTCCTTTCGGGCGGTCTTCAGCACCTTGGCCAGGCTCACGGGCCGCCGGGCCGCCTTCTGCTCCGGGGGCAGGGGTTTGCGCCCCCGCTTCTTACGGATGGGATCCTTGAGCTCGGGCTTGGCCACCAGGATCTGGGCCTTCTTCTGAGGCACCGGGTGGGTCTCACGGCCTCGGGGACCCCTTTTGGCATCTAAGTCACTGTCGTCATCTTCATCTGAGGAGGACGAAGATGACGTCGAGGAAGAGGAGCAACTGCTGGACTTGGATTTGGAGGGTGCATCGGGTTCCTGGGAAGACAAGAGGAGGGAGTCATTTCTCTGTGGTCTGGTGCCAAGGTCAGAGCACCAGGCTTCCTCAAGGGACGTCAGCACCTGCAGCCAGCAACTCGGTGGCTTCCCAGACCAAGGAGAAGTGACCGCTCACCATGTGGTCCCCAAAAGATGTAGCAGGCTTTACATGAAATGTAAAGTTAAAGGCAGAGTAGGAAAAAAACAAAAACAAAACAGGTTGTTTGTAAAATTAACTCAGAGTAACCAGGATACAGCACAGAACTTCCCACACACCACTGGCTTTTAAGGGACACAAGTTTTGCTCTAGATATCTGGCAGGCAAGTCAAAAAGGGCATTGTACCCAGAATGGCATAAGCCACTGTGCTAGAGGGCTGAGCCTTAGAGCCCAAGGGCTTCGATCAGAACCAAGCAGATTCCTGCTCCAATCACCCTATCTCCAAATCTGACCCCTCAGAGCATTCTAGTGCACAGGTCAACACACCACGTCCTCCTCCTCTTCTGAATGTCATCCCAAATGCCAAAGTATGGCCCCCGTTTCTTAGGTCCCCTGCTGCCTGCTGGGCAGAATCTTCTAAGGTGGTTAGGGAGATGGGTTTCCTGCTCTTGTTTCCCTGCAGCGAAGCTCTCCTGATCTGAACGGGAACTGAACCTGTCAGACCTGGAGGGTCTCCTCACTCCAAAGAAAGCCTTTTACAACCCACAGGCTTCTGTAGCCTGCACTGTCCTGCTGGAGAGGAAGATTTGAAAGACAAGACACCCCCCCCCCCAGACAGAACAGTCAGCAAGATTCCAAGTAGGGATCCACAGTCCCCTGGAAGTGGTACTGGAAGTGACCGAGCTCCTGGCCAAGGCATGCCAGGGTCCACAGCAGTTCACTGAGAAGACAATCAAAGACACATCCAGACCAAGGCCGGACTCCCCTCCCGTCTCGCCTCTGGTGTGTTGGGAGTGGAGGGGTGATGTCAGGGACTCTGGTGCACGCATGCCTGTGGTGTGGGAAGCCCACCTTGCTGTGGTCATCATGGCAGGGAGGGGAGAAATGACAAGACATTCCCAAGAAGATGCCAGCACAGCATGGCCCCCTGCCCTCCTGCTGGCTCCTGGGCCTTCAGCCAGCCCTGTGTTTCCTGGCTACCTTGATTTAAGGTGTACTCAGGGCTGGGTATGGAATGGCCCAATATCTTGGGCCTAATTACCCTGTTGGTCCATATCTACGTGGTAAACCTCTGAGCACCTCCATATGGACTCTTCCCATTCTTTTCTGGTTCTTGATGATAAGCCCCCGGGAGCAAGAGGGAATCACAGGCAGTGGCCAAGTTTGACGCTGCTACCCAGAAAAAAATGGGTCAGGAGGCTTGGCCCTGCAGGACACCAACAGGGTGGAAGGAGAGGCAGGACTCTGTGGCTTGCTAGTGCCCCTGCTCAGAGGCTTGGAGGCAGCACACAGGGGGGTTCCGCCTTCTGAGCAGAGGAAAACTTCTGCAGAAGTAACGTTCCCACCCAAGAGCCCTGAAACCTTTCCTCTGTCCGAAGAGGTCTTAGAAGCGCACACTCACCTTGAGCTTGGAGCGACGGCTGCAGGACGACGTGACTGTGTGCTTCCTGGGCCTACCCCTGGGCCTCTTCCCCCTCTTTCGGTTCTGTATCTCCTTCTCGTGTTCCCTGAAGACACACACTGATCAGCGTGGAAAGGCACTGCTCACAACCTCCCCTAACACACAGGAGCGCCACGGCTTCTAACACCTCACGTGGCCCCCGAGGTTCTCTGCTGCTCTGGTCGGTGGCAGCTTGTTGACTATTTTGCTGCAAAATTGCACTGTGTCCATCAAATGCCCACAGCAAAGGTCCAGACCTCATTTTTTTTTTTTTTTTTTGGTGTGGCAAGGGTCATCTTTATCTCCACAGGAACGCCAGCTCACTGGCATCTGGCTAAGACAGCAAAGCGAGGACAGGCACAACTCTGGTTTACGCCTACAAACTTTCCGCAGGTGGAATGTCTTGCAAAAATCCAGCTTGGCTAACGGGAAGCAGCTTTTGGGGCATGTGGTGCAAACTCTCATTTTAATAGAAGAAAGACCAAGGCAAGGAGACAGCAAAAAATGTCCCCACCATCAAAGTCCTACCTCTGCCCGAGAATGTTGCCCAGGGTCAGTTTGCTGGCCAGGCTCTCCTGAGTTCTCCTCTCTAGCCACTTGCTCTTGACAGAAGTAACGGAGGTGCTCATGGGTGAAGCAGTAGTGAGGGCTCAAAGCCTGCACCTCCTGCAGCCCTCCGGCTTCAGGGGTCAGGAAGCACTCCCAAGAGGATGGCCCCCAGCCCCCTCCGAAGCTCATACTTCAGGCCACCCCACAGGAAGGGGCCTGACCTGGAGAAGATTCCCGTAGTTAAACAAACAGGGCTGCACTGGGGCTGAGCAGTAGAGCGCTTGCCTAGCCTGTGTGAGGCCCTGGGTTTGATCCTCAGCACCACATAAAAATATAGATATTATGTAAAAAATAAAATAGATAACGGGGCCTGAAAGGTGACCCCCCTAGAGAAGCTGATTAGCACTCCCAGGCAAGGCCCACCTTCCTGGCTTTATTTCTTCCACGATGTAATCCTAGCCACCCACGGTTTAAAAACTCTCGAAAGATATTTCGGCTCTTGTCTGTTTAACCAAAAGCTAGGTTGCGGACATGTGCCGCTCAACAGTTGGAATGCTGTCTGCTGTCTTTGTGGTGCTAGGGATCAAACATGCCAGGCAAGCTCTCTACCACAGGAGGACACTCAGTCCTAGGACACCGTCATTTTGTCACCTGGGCTGGTCTTAAATTCCTGGGTTCAAGTGATCCTCCTGTCTCTGCCTTCAGAGTGGTGAGACTACAGAAGGATGCCACAGCACCTCACCCAAGGTAGCCACCTCAAAGGCAAAAAAAAAAAAATGAACTAAGGTCCTGCAATGTGTCAAGCTGACCTCCTTGAGGTGCACAGGACCAAGTTATGAGCTAAATAGAAGGTAACGAGATTGCTGATACCAGATTTTCCAAAGCCAGCACCTGCACCTACTTTCTCTCGCCATGCGAAAACCTACCTGCTACATTGTGATGTGAACACAGCTTGGATGACCTGAGAACTAGCCTGTCAGAGTGACCCCCGCTGGGAGGCTTTGAGCACCAAATCATCTGCCTCTGAACACAGGAAGCTCCTATAAGGGGGAAGCCATCGGGCTGCCCCCCACAATTTGCTACCACATGGTGTTCACACCTGGATGAGTGGGCACACCATTGCCTTCCCTCACCATCCTGCCTCTAGAATACCTCATGGAGGCCCGTCTCTTAACCCAGGTCTCCTACCTATAGGTGGGAATGACATCTTAGAATTACATAAGCAAATCCAGCCCAAGCCTGCAGACCCCCACCCAGAGCTCTACCTCAGTACTGTTTGGCAGGTCAGAGCAAATTTAATGTACTGCTCTGGACACAACAGGTGAAACTGTGTTGTGGCGTCAGCTCACTGTCTGAGCCTTCTCCTGCCCGTGGACACTTCTGTAGGGGCAAGAGGACAGGCCTGCAGTTTTGCAGCAAACCTGTGGCCCTGGTTCTTATTAGTGCAGTCTACAAATTACAAAAAGGTCAAATGAAAGCAGAACCTTTGCAGGAAAAAACAGAGGAGGTGCTGTTCCACCAGAGACCAAAGCAGCACTTCCTAGAGACCCCTCAGATAGGGAGAGTGCTGGCTGGGGACCTTGGATGCTTTGCTTTTACAGACAGCCAAGGAGATGGCACAAGAGACCTGGGGACTGTCTTGCTATGAGACCTAAAATCAGCCCAGCCCAAGCCCTCTAGGGGGCCACTGGCCCCAACTCTCCCCTCCTCCTGTACAGTTACTGGTCTCACTTCTTCTGGAAGGCCAGGAGCAGCCGTGGGTCCAGGATGTTCTCCTCTGGCTCCCAGCTGTTATGTCTGGAAAAGCAAAGAGTAGGTTGGTGTCGGAGACCCAGCCCTGCCTGGGTCACCACTGCTCCCCTAGCACAACTGGATGCAAGGACACCTTGGCTCAGTGGCCCTTAAAAGGCCCAACCCAGATGCTGGAGGTCCTTGAGGCCAGTGCCCTAACCTCAAATCCACAGAGAAACTGCCACTTCAAGCCCTCAATTAAAAAGGCCACAGGAGGACTCCAAGTCTGCGCCAGGGAGGAAAACAAATCCCCCCCTCCAAAACCACAAAGTTGCAGAAAGGGAATCCCCCAAACCCTGGCCTGGAGCCAGGGAGGGAAGGGAAGGCAGGTCCAGGACGCGGGGAGGGGGAGACTGAGGGGCACAGACAGCCCAGGCAGAACAATGTGGCTGGCGCCCCAGCCAGCGGGGGACCAAGCACCGGAGTTGGAGCAAAGAAAGGGTAGTCAGGGTAAAAAGGGGTGCGGAGCAGCTGCGGAGGCAGCTTCAGGGGACTTTAAGTCCCCTCCCTTCCATTAAAGGAAAGAAAGGGGGAGGGGGGAGTCCCACATCCATCAATAGGAAGCTCAGGTTACAGCGGGGGAAAATATGGACAGGAGGAGGGGGGCTCGCGTCCCGCGCCTGCCCCGCCAGGCCAGGAAGCGGTGAGCCGGGCGGGGGGTGAAAGCAACAAATGGGCCCTGGGGAGCGCGCGGCGCAGCGGTGGAGGGCCGCAGGGGGATACGGGGAGGGAAGCCACCAGCTCCGCTCCCCGCAGGCTCGTAAACAAAGGGCGGCCCCAGGCCCGGCTGGCGCCCCCACCCGCGGAACGCTCGGGGACCCCTCGAACTTCCCGCCTCGCTCGTGAACGCCCCGCTCCCTAGACGGCGCGACCTAGGGTCCCCAGGCCGCCCCCACTCCCGGCGAGGTGGCGAGCGCGGGAAGGCGGGCCCGCATCGTGGGACTCACTTGGAGGACCAGCCGCGCCACTTGACCAGGTACTCCAGCTTGCCCTGCGGGGAGAGAAGAGCAGGCGGTGAGCCGGGCGCCAGGGCGGGCCGGGCGGCGGCGGGCGGGGTGGCACGCACCTTGCGGAGCCGCTTGCTC